TCCTAATACTTAGGAAAAGGGAAGGCTGAATTGGACAGATGAGCTGTGCACTGGACTCTGCACGTGAACAAGTTCAGGCTCCGGTAAGCTACTAGAGAAGGCAGGTTTTGAAGGCAATGACTCTTCATTGAAAAGACTATGTCACCTACAACTAAAATTAGGGAGAGCCTAGAAAACTGTCTTCACTCAACTGACTTTCTCTGGAAACGGCAATGAGCCTGCACTTCTCAAACTGAAACTGCATGTCATCTTTATTCTCCTGACTATGCTAAAGGAAATCTTACACAGCTTTCATAATTCTGTGGCTTGAATTGTAATACAGCATGTTGATTAAAATAGTCAGACTTTCCCATTTCACTACAGACAGTGATTAGCACGATACCGAGTGAGCCAGTGTGATTGAGTTACTCTTTCCAGTGCTACATTTGCTGACACTAGGCTGTAGAAGAGATATGCTGTAAAGTCCATTTGCTGCAGAAGCTTTCACTGATGCTCTGCTGCACATACCTCCACCTCCTGTGGTATCTTTGGGGACGTTTTCCTTTATGACATTTAGAAGAATGGACACACTGATCCTTGAGTGAAGTCACAGGCTATTTAACAAGGGCAAAATATTATCAACAAATACTCCTAAACCAAGCACTGATTAGATAAGATAATTAAAATGGAATGTTTCAATTTTCTAGCAAGGCACAATTTATTCTGAGAATTTTTATCTGATACAGGAGCTATCACTGCAGACTACGGAACCAAAGATATTTCACAAGGACTAAAATCATCCGTGAGCATTAGTCGCCATAAAAAAAAAATGTTTTAATAAAACCTGCATATGCTTTAGCCTCAAAGTGGTACATTAAAAAAAATAATAGCTCATGCATGCAGTTACATCAGGCTCCAAGAGAAACCTAGCAGAAACTGTGGCATCTCCTCTTCATTGATTACTCCATAACAACAGCTGAAAATTACAATTTTTCCAGGCTATAAAATGCCTAGCACTCCAAATTCTACCCCGGCAGCAAAAATCTCCTGTCTGTGAGTTGTTGTATCTGTAATAGAGACCCTGCATTACCAGGCTTTCTAATTCTTCCCAAACGCAGAAGCTCTCATTCAATGTTGCAGCTGTTGGGTAGGAAATCAGAAATAGCAGAAGGCGGATTAGTTGATAATGTACCAGTTCTTCCCCAGCAAATGCTGGCACCTGTGTTTTACGCTCTCCTCTTTCCCTCAGCCCAGGAAAAGATCTCTTGGTTGGTTTGGCAAGCAATTTATAGGCTTTACTGATCGTGGAATTGCAGAAGGATAAGAATTTGTTATAATAGCCCCTTCTTCCCGAGAGCAAAAGTTAAAACTGAGGCCCACTTTACAGCAAGAATCGGGGACCTTGTAAGTAAAGATTAAGCATGTGCAGCGTGATGAGACTCTATAGGGAATAACTACACATGTTGGCACTCCATTTACAAGGAAATCCCTGAAGATAATCTGTGGAAGCACTCTAGCTTCCAAAAGCTCAAATCCCTTGACCACTGGCTCAAATCCAGTCAAGGCTGACGATGATAAAGGCTACTCTTTGCATTTCTATAAGAACTTTTTTCTAAGATCACAGAACACTCTAATCATTAAATTATGCAGGACCCAAAGTCAAGCCAGAAGTAATAGGATTTCCATGTCAGTGGAGAAAACAGTAGGTACGATCTCGTACAACATGGCAGAACCAAGAACAAGTCCTATTCTACACTTAACCTTCATGCTATAAGTACATTATTATTTCTGGAAAGATGCAGATGAAAAATACTGCGTACACATAATGGACAAAGATTTCTAGAAAGCTACTTTCAAATCTACAGGTAGTTACAGAAGCAGAATGAAAACATTCATGCTTGCCCTCATAGGTTATGATGGGTACACATCAAACAGATAACAATGAAAAAAAAAAAATCTTACAGCATCAAGTTTTCAATTAAATCCACAAAATACAAAACCACCTACAAGCTACAGATGTTAGGTTCTTCCCTTTTGCTTTTTACAATCAGCAATAATAATTTTCACTATTCTTTTTATTGTATTTCATTTGTGGCCCTTACTGCACAATAAACATTTTTTATGTTCACCCATAATAAAGCTTTTGCAAATGCTGTAATGCATGACTCACAGTACTAACAGTACCACACAGCAACACCTTCAGCATGAAAAACAGACTGCACTTCTGATTGCTGTTTCAGAAGAAAACATCTCTAAGAAAATAAATTTGTTTGGTACAGTGCATGATTTCGGAGCAGAGGATTGTCAAATTAGTATCCAAGTCATAAGACACATAAAACACTAACCCAAACAGCACAGGAGTAGAAGAAGAAACCCTGTGGCATAAACAATCATAAACGTAGATACACTTAGCAATATGTAGAGGCCTGCAGACATTAGCTCAATCCGATTTCACTGCCCCTCAGATTTTTTTAAAGCAAGATTTTTATATTGTTTGCTGCCGCCAAGTGGCGATAATCAGTGTTGTGTTTTATAATTCAGAGCAGTCATTAAGCCTGGCAAGTAAAAAACCTAAAATAAAATACTTCTTGGTTTGTCTTCTTCAGATAGCATCAGCAGTTGCAAAATCAAATCTCCTCCTCTGTCATCTCATTTTCAATGACTTACATAGCTGATCCCCCCTTTCAGTCTACACTTTTGCTTTATTTACCTACATTTCCTCTTGCTATTCTTTGCTCTGTGTCTGCTGCCATCATCACCTCAGCAGGCCTAAAATCTTCAGATTTAAATTTGCCCCTTGCCTCTGTTCAGTTTACCTTGTTGCACCTGGAAGTTTTGGGAGAATGTCCTTCCTGCCAAAGAGGGAAAGGAGGACCTATTTCCTGGAATCTCACTTCATCTCACTGGGAAGCAGCTTCTAAATGGTAACAAAAGTGAAAGGCAGAACACTGTAACTGTACCGGTATTTCTTAGCTACTGCAGTAGCTGTAACAAATATTAATATAGGAAAATGTTAGTCTGTGTGACAGTGATTGGCTTTTCCATTGCCATTTCCTTCTTCCTGAATTTCATTCTCATTTTAGTCTGCCTATCACATAGCAGAAATATTAGCACTCTAGCACGACTATCGTTTATTATTTTTATTTTTCAGCTGGGCTATCTACTGTAGAAACTTAAACAGTTCCCATTAGTAACCAAATACTTTACACTTCTGAGATTTTTATCCTCACTCCTACACAAAAAGGAAATCTGTTAACACTCTTTTAATGTTAAAAAAAGCGCTATTACTTAGAGTAAAAGACAGTACCTTGCTACAGAAACACAAAGTACCTGAGTTAACACGGGAAAGCTGTTAAGACTGAGCCTCCCAGACTCTAACTGAATCACCTTCAGCGTGGAACACAGCTGGAAGTGGCTGTCCGGCTGTACCTGCCACTTCTCAGGTTAAATCCACCAATCTATTTCAAATGTGAGTCTATAAACTCTGATATCTGAATGCCATTTTCCTGCTTCAGATCTGTTCAAGCCATGTAGAAATTCAGGTCAACTGTTACTTAATACATTTTTGATGGTCTGTGCGCTCAACACAATAATTCACAGGGATTGCTTTTAATAGTGCTGTAGTTAATATTGATACCTCCTTTTTAGTCTAAAGAGTCCAAGGATGAAACAGTCTGTAAGACATTCAGTGCTGCCTGAATGAAGTTATGGAAAATGAATGTGAACTTGGATTCATCTTTTACCAATAATAAATTGGTTTTATGAAAATAAGCGCTCTGTACCCACTCTCATAAACACCTGGTACTAAACTGATTTCCTTATGCAGTTATTCTCATATCTATTATAGAGAATTTAATCAGCAGTTACTTTCTGATCCTTTTATCTACAGTTGGAGAACTACGGAGAGTCTGTCATCATTTCTCTATTACATCTGTTTGTGAAAAGGCTGCACCCTGATTAGTGTCTCTACCCATTTCAAAAACTACCAGTGATGGCTCCTCCCTAACAAGTGCTTTATTTTGTCACCCAGCAACATTCCTGCCAAAAGACAAACTGCATCATTTCAACAGATTCTTTCCAGAAAGAGAAATTAGATCAGAGATGCACTCCTAATCTACTTAACTATTTGGATTAAGAGTCTTTGGCTTCAGCCTTATACCGCAGTAAACATCCAGGGTATCAGTACGAAAATCAGTTGAACGATGATGAAGAACCGAGCGGAGCCCACCACCATCTTGTCCAACTTGGCCAAAGCCCAGAACATTCCGCACTCACCGCCTGGCCCACTCCGAGGACCACCCCAAAAACCCGCCCTGGCCACTCCGCATCCAAGCCCCGCACACACCAAACCTGGACAAATACCTAAAGTTTAAGGAGTAAAGGTAACATGAAAAGGTTTCGAGGCAGACGAGCACCTAGCAGCTGTGAGGCACTAGAGGCCCCGCCGAGCTCAGCGCAGGGCTGACTGCGGCGGAGGGGCTGAAGAAGGGCGGGCTCCGCCTCGGGAAAAAGGGCGGGCTTCGCCTCAGGCCGCGGCCGGCGCCCGCCC